TATTAACTCTCAGTTCCTTCTCCAGCACTGAGTCTGGCTGCACGCCGCCATGTCTCACCATGATGATAATGGACTGAACCTCTGAACTGTAAGCCACATAATCAAATGTTTTCCTTTGTAAGAGTTGCCATAGTTATAGTGTCTCTTGACAGCAATTGAAAACCTAGCTAAGACACAGGGTTTCTCTGTGTAATAGCCCTGGCTCTCCTGGAATTTTCTCTGGAAACCAGGATGGCCTCGAACTCTTGATATTTGCCTGTCTCTGCCTCCTGAGAGCTGGGATTAAAGGCATGTGCTAGCACTTTAAGTTTTAATAGTTCTAATTCCCTAATTATTTTATATGTACCTGGTAAACAGCTGGTATTTTATATAATGCTGACTGTTGTTTCGTTTTCTTATACTTTCTGATTCACTACATTTGGCAGTTAATGCCATATAATATATATCACATATATATGCAAACAAATATATTTGGCATTCAATAGTTTTAAAGCCTTTATCCTTGATAGAGTATAAATTAGATGCTTACTGTAAAGACATATCAAACAAATGAAACTCACCTTTGCATAGTTAAACAGATATTCTGCCACAGAACCCAACAGTTTGTCAGTCCAGAGGCTGGGTGCTTCAGCAGGTCCAATCTTGTGATGAAGGCCTAAGGAATTCTAGAGAGCAACAGATCTCCAGTCCATGTTGGAAGCCCAAAGCTGGGACCTACTGTTGTGGGGTAACCATCAGAGAAAACTGCTCAGACATGGGTTTAAGCCAATAGAAAGTCTTTATTAACCATCTGGCAACTACACTGGGTGTTTGGAATCTCAGTATACCCCAGAGCCTTTCTTGGGGTAAGCTGTTAAGCACAAAGAAAAAGCATATTCTGGGTTGATATACTTCAGTTAACATAACAGTTAGCCAGAAGCAGGCTAGTACATTTAGAGGCTTTCCCATACAATGGACTTTGATGGATCAGGGCTTTGTTTTCATTTTGTCAGGTGATGCTATTTTGTGGCCTAAATGTCACTTCTGTCATGGAGCCAACTGTGTTAAGGTCTGGGGGACCTGTTACATTTCATTTGTTTAACTATGCAAAGATGAGTTGCATTTGTTTAACTATGTGAAGATGTGCTGCTGTTTTACCTTGCCTGCCTAAGACTCCTGATTGGGCCAATAAAAAGATGAACAGCCAATAGCAAGGGAGGAGGTATAAGCAGAACTTCCAGGCAAAGAGAGTAAACAGGAGGAGGAATGTAGGCTCAAGAAAATAAGAAAGAAAAAAGAGATGACAGGGAGACACCAGCCAGTCAGAGAGGAAGCAGGAAAGTAGGACCTATAGAATGAAAGAAAGGTAAACACCCTGAGGCAAAACATAAATTAATCAAAACAGGTTAGGTTAAGTTAAAAGAGCTAGTGGGGCAAGCTTAAGCCAAGCATTCATAATTAATAGTAAGTCTCTGTGTCTTTATTTGGGAGCTGGTTGCTGGCCCAATGAAAAATTGCAGTTACAGGGTTCTTTGCCTCTCCAAGTGTGAGACAGACATTTTTGAACTTCCCAGTCTGTATCATGTATTCAAAATCCAACAAGTTCCCCTTTAGTTACCTGGAAATCTGCATTCTACCCGCAAAGATCTTATTCTATCATTTAGAGTGATAAGGGAAACATGGACGGCAGGGTGGGTGTCCTGTCTGTGTGGATTAAGGACACAGGGAGAAACTAGAGAGTTACCTCCTGCTGACTGTCACTCCTGTTTGCAGATCTCTGCCCTCCCCTGGGAAACGTCATCTTGGCTGCTGGTATTTTAGTGCCTGGCACAGAGCTTGTCACATAGCAGTTGCTTCACACGCCCCTGTGATCCATGACCGGAATGAATAGTTGTTTTTTTTTTTTTTTTTTTTTTTTTTTTGGCCAGCTGCAGAATGTATGTTTGTGATAAGCAAAAAAATAAAAAATAAAAAAAATAAAAAAAGTTCTGAAAGAGAGAACACCTGGGATCAGTATAGCTCAAAGGCAACTGGACTGTGTGACAAGATGAGTTTGAGGAGTGTGAAACAATGAGAAGACAGATTATGACCCCTGCTCCTTGCTGCCCTGTTTCTGCCCTTCCTGTCCTCGCCCAGCATCTTTAACAAGGTGAGCCTCACTCCCTTTCCTTCTGTTTAAATACTCTTCCTACGTACACATTTCCTGCCCCACCCTGCCACGCGCTAACTTGGCCTGCTGTCAGTGTGCCTTCTCCTGTGGTGTCCTGAGACTGGAACCACCCATTTCTGTGGGTGGTGGACCGCTGTCAGACCAGTCCATGGCACTAGTACACAGCATTATCAGCTACCTATTGCTCCCCAGAGCGCGGCCCTGGAGATGCCGTCCTTTCTCTGTCCTGTGGCTCCGAGTCTGCTGGAGTCTAGACCAAAGGGCAGACTTTCTTTTTTAAATTTCCCATTTCCACAGGAGGCTTCAAAAACCAAAACTATAACAAAAAGAAACCCAAAACCTTATGCTATTAGTTGTATCACGAACCACACACACACACACACACACACACACACACACACACACACACACCTGTGACACTTGGCTCTAGGTTGTCAGTAGCTACTCAAATTGCTCATGCCGAAGACCCTTCTATGAAATGGTGTCATATAACAAACTACGCATATCCTCCCAATACTTTGAACGATGTCTGTATATCTGTCATACTGAATACAGTATGTAGCTCTGTAAATGTTTGCTGCACTTTTTGTTTAGGGAACAACAACAACAACAGAAATCTCACGTGTTTATTATAGTGCACATCCCCCATCCAGAATAATCTACCTACACTGAGACAAATCCACAGATTGAAACCCAAAGGTGTGAAGAGCCGGCGGTGTTAACTTTTGCTTTGTCCACATCAGGACACAGCCTCTTCCTGCTTTCCTACAGGCAGCCCAAAGCACTGTAACCATTGTCTTAATTTTCAGCACTAATGCATGTTTCACAGCACAGCCTTGCAGTTCTTTTTCTGGTCAGGCCAGGCCTCTCTCTGGTGGTCCCAGCACTGCCATACCGATCCCCTCCTTCAGTACCAAGTGCTAACTATTCCATCTCTGCCAAATCCTACACACCCTTTCCTAGCCCTGCTCCTATTTCATTACACAGCTTCCCACCCACCCCATCCTTCCCTTCCTTCAGAGTGCTGTAGCCCCAGATGAGAACTTTCCAGCATGTTACACGTGTTTTATTATTGTCTTATTTTATTCCCTCTTACTAACAGTTGCTAGCCTTTCCTCTCTCTGATGACTTGCTGTTATCTCATACAGCTAAGCCATTCCCCAGAATCTCTCTCCAGTTGACTCCAGGTTAAGCTTAGCCACAAAAGAAATCTGTGCAAGGACTGGAAAATGAAATTGCAGATAGCCTCTGTGATGTCTAAAGGTTGCAGGATGACACAGGGCACTGGGACAGGTTGCTGTAGATGCTGCCTTACAGGTGTGCATTCACGGCCCAGCCCATTGCTCCACCAGATGTCACTCTTTGCTATTAAGTTCCAGCTGGGCATACGTGTGCGCACCTCTGAGACTGGATGCTGCTTTCATTGTCAGCGTCCATGTGGCTGGTGATATTTATGGTCAGGGTGGCTCTAGAACATTGCTTCCATTTCATCCATGCAGTATCTGAGATGTGAACAAATTTCAGGTGTACATTACGGGAGACGGTGTGGGATTCAGGACCAGGTTTTGGGAGTTTGGTGTGTGGCTAGCAGGGGATCTGATGGTGAGATGTGGTCACAGCATAGCACTGCAGCGAGAAAAAGCTGCGATGAACTGAGGACCGTTGCAACATGGGAGGGAGCTGGGAGCCGTGGGAGTCAGGAAAAGCAGGGAGGCTGAGAAAGATGGGAAGATGAGCATCAATGAGGGCTAAGTAAGGACCATTGACCTCTCCCCCTGGGCACTGGACGGTTATAAAGAAAGCATTGCTAAAATCTGTTAAATAGGGCTGGAGAGAGGATGCTACTGTGCTTGCAGAGAGCCTGAGCTCGGTTCCCAGCATCCACTGCTCATAGCTCACATCTGCTTGCAACTGCAGTTCCTGGGGATCCAGAGTCCTCTTCTGGCCTCTTCAGTCAACAGCTAATTGAACTACTCTTATGCCATGACCAGCTGTATTGAGTACACCACAGATGTATTGAGATAACTATGCCAAAACTACCTGTAGCTGATTGCCCTGGCCCCTGGAGACACAACATCAGCCAGGGCTGTTTCAAATCAGATCTTTGTCCATCACAAGCCTCAGGGAACCATTTCCACTTTTGCCAGGGCAGGGTGCTTCTTGTGGTCTAGTGAAGGACTGTTGTGTCTGTTGCTCAGGCAAGGCCATGATTGGTCCAAAATCTAAGACTCAATGACTCTGATTGGTGCTAAGAGGCAAGGTGGTTGGTCCAGACAGTTGGCTGTGACTGGTCTATACAGCGCTTCCGTGGCTGTGAATGCTGATTGCTCAGTAGGAGGTGGGACACCCTGTCCTGTGCTGCCTGTCTTCCCTGGTGGTAGAACGTTATTTTATCTTGTCGTGAGGACTGAGCTGGGGGCAGGAAGAGGCAGGAGAGACAGCATGGAAGTGGCAATGGCAGGTGTAGCAGAATGTCAGAGGCACCGTACCTAAGCAGTACGGCTTTTCTCAGCTCAGCAGTTCTGGAGTGGTCAGCTGGGAAGAAGGGAGGACAAGGTGAGAGATGGTGGCAAGGGACGCTGGAGATCTACAGCTGAAGGATAAAGTCTGTAAGCAGTCGGAGGAAAGCACCCATAACCCCTGGTAGCTAAACCAGAGAGCTGCCAAATCCTCAGAGCCAAAGGTCTCAGACAGGAGACACTGAGCTACAATACTGACTGATAGCAAGAGCTGAGTATCATTGTCTGTGACCTGTACCAGGACTTTACCACTAGAGGGCACCATTTCCACTGCTTCCTCCTGCTAATGCCTGTGGTCTCTGCATCTAAACACAGGAGATGAGAGCCACCTGCATTTGAGGCTCTTCTCCTTGCCTGCCCATGAGGACCCTCAGACAGCTGGTTAGAGACACTGTGTGACTGAGAAAGTCACATAAAATGCAGGCTGGATTCGCTGCAGCAGCGGTTGGTATGTAAAGAGATCTTAGATCCAGAGGGAAGATTGTTGTGACCTCAGGGGGCGTATCCATTTCATAAACACGCCGAAACACAGCACCAGAAACTGGGTGGCTTTAACCAATTATCTCATAGTTCTGGAAGCCAGAAATCCAAGATGTAGGGTAACTCCACGCGTTCTCTGAAGGTTGCAGGGAAGGTTGCAGGGAAGGCTTCTGGTGTTGCTTCTCAGGCTGGTCAAACTTCCATCACTCCATGCATGAATCACTCTACCCGAAAGCTGCTCCATGGCAATCTTCGGGTATCATGGCTGCTGCTTTGTTCTCGTCTCTGCCTCCATCAAGGAGCCTTCCCTGTATGCATGTCTGTGTCTCTTCTTACGGCATTAGGCACAGCAGATTAAGGGCATATACTTAACTGACTATATCCATAACGACTCTGTTTACAAATAAAGTCCTAGTCTGGGGTTTCTAGGAAGGACTAGGATTAGTATGAGCAGGGGCTCTGTTCAAACTGATACATGAGGTAGATAACTAAGGACAAGGGAGATTACAGACCGAAGAAGCTGCAAAGGAAGACAGGGTTAAAGGCAGTTTTTATTTTTTTTAACGTGGAAGCGATTTGAACATCTGTGTTGAATACGTTAAAGAGCCCTAGGAATGGGGAAGCCAAAGGGTCCAGGCAGAAAGCGAGTAATCGATGGTGCCAGCTCCCAAGGGACTGGGGTCTGAAGCGTAGGTGGGCGGGTCAATCGTGGACTTAGAGGGAGGGGGCAGAGGGATGTGGGTAGGTGCAGATGTGGATCGGGGAAGGAGGAAGCAAGTGGTATAGCTGCGTGGGGCTTGGCTACACGGCTTTAGAGATGCCGATGTCGTTCAGCAAGTAAATCACGAGCAGTTGTCGGTATGAGCAGCTGCAACAACAGCTTGTGGGGTGAGCTCTACTCTGTGGGTAGAGGATTAGGTGAGGGTTCTGACCACGGGAAGCAGGGGGGGCCGGCAACCTACTGATGCAGACAGATGGCCGTTTCGTTAACCTGAAAACTGTTCTGGAAGGCCAGAGGGAAGCCCCATATTCCTGGTCCCCTTGTTTCCCTCCCACCCCAGGACTGTGAATACAAGCACACCTACCGTGTCACACTCATTTTTTCTTGGTGTGCGGGGGCATTCATGTGGATATGTGGGAGGCCAGAGGAGATGTGAATGTCTTCCTCTATCGCTTAAAGCCTGGTGTTTCAGGCAGGCTGGCTGGCCAGCAAGTTTCTGGGATCCTCCTGTCTCTACTCCCCAGTGCTGAGTTTAGAGACGCATGTGGCCATATCCTATTTTTATATGGATGCCAGGGGTTCAGACTCAGGTCTTCATGCACAAACAACACTCATTTTTACTCACTAAGCTGTTGTTTTTCCAACCACAGCCCCCCTTCCCCTATGGATTCTTGGAATCACACGCTGTGTTTTCAGGTTGTAGTGCAGTGATTGGGTGAAACACTGGGGTTTACTCCCCAGTTCACTGGAAGACTGGAGATGAAGGGATGGACAAGGAGATGATTTCTTAGACACCTGGTGGATTACCTGTTTATCCATCTGTGAACTTTAAGGCCATGCATCTATTGACTGGTTATAGGCTTTTGTTCTTTATCAACAATATTATTATGGATTGGATGATCTCTAATCTCTTTGTGCTTATGATTTCCACCTACAGCAAATTATTGATGCCAAAGATTAATGCTATTTTAAGAACTCATGTACAAAGGATTTTGAAACATTGGTTTATTATCTGTGTACATATGAGAGAGTGTATGTGTCTAAGCAGGAATGCCACTGTGTGTGTATGTGAAGATCAGAGGACAAATTTCAGGGGGAAATTCTTTACTTCTAATATGTAGGTAAGTCCTGGGGATGTAGCTCAGGTCATTAGGCTTGGTGGCAAGTGTCTCTACCTGTCAAGGCATCTTGAAAGCTCACATGAGTAGGTTTCTATATAAACTGAGTGTTCATATCCTCCACTTTATCCTGTTCCCACCTGGTCCCAATAAGATTAATTTTTTAATAGAGCTGGTTTTGCACTTATTAAGACAGGTGACCAGGTGTCTTCCCTTGCTTTCTTGGGACTGCCCTGTCCCCTTTTGCCACCACTGCAGGTTGCCATACTGAAGAGATACAAAATAAATCCAGTAATAATAATAAAACACCTTACATTTCATTGCTTATTCAACATGTGTGAGCTACTACACTAAACCACACAGAAGCACTACAGGATTTGCTCCAGGGTGTTTCAGGATGAGAGAAGGAATACAGTGTAGTGTGGGGCCTAATGGTGGACTGGAGTAGGACTTTGTTCTTCGTGGACAACTATCAAGAATTGCATACCAAGATACCTTTTCATAGTAGCAACGAGATGGGATCAGCCAAGATATACATTAATTAGTAAATGGGTAATGAAAAACTTCCACATACGTACAAAAGAATTTTATTTAGAAGAAAGATTTTTTATAAGAAAATGTTTATAAAGAAAATGTATTTATAAAGAAAAAAGTGAAATGATGGAATTTGTAGGAAAATGGGTGTAACTGGAAAATATAGTAAGTGATATAATCCAGGTCTAGAGAGACTAATATCAATGTCTTCTTTTATCTGTGGATTCTAGCTTCTAACTCCTAATGTGGGAGTAAGTGTGGGAAGCCCAGGAAACCAGACGGGGTCCATCAGAAGGGAAAAGAGAGGCATTAAGTGGGGAGGGGTACTAGAAAGCATGTTCTGCAAAAATACAAGGGGGAAATACTGGAAGTGGAAAGGATTTTTGGGGGGGAGGATGTGGGGGATGGGTGAAAGGAGGATCAACTAAGCTAACATTTATGAAAATGCCATAAGCAAGGAGCCTGGAGAGATGGCTCAATGGTTAAGCATGTGCACTGCTCTTGCAGAAGCATGAGTTAGGTTTCCAGCATCCATATTGTGTGGCTTACAACCACTTGTGACTCCAGCTCCAGGGGATCTGACAACCTTTTTTTTCCTTTACAAAGGGCTGCACTCAAGTTCACAACTAAACACAGACACATACATATGCACAAAATTAAAAGTTAAAAAAAATTCAAGGCATGGTGGCATGCACCTTTAATCCCAGCGCTCAGGAGGCGGAAGTAGGCGGATCTCTTGAGTTCCAAGACTACATAGTGAGACCTAGACTCAAGCAAACCAAAACCAAAACCAAAACGAGACAGGAGGAAAGTTAAAAAGGAAGAAAGAAATATGCATGGGTGAACAAAATTGCTCCCAGAAACTATGTTATGAAAAGAAAATCCCAGTGTCAGGGGTGGGCTAGTCTGCTACAGATTTTGGCCAGGGAGGCCCCCCCAACAATACAATCATCTGCCATTGCTAGTGATTGTTGTCTTAGGGTTTCTATTGCTTGGAGGAGACACCATGACCATGGCAACTCTTATAAAGGAAAAACATTTAATTGGGGTGACTTACATTTCTAAGGTGTAGTGGCAGGCCATGGTAGCATCTGGCAGAACATGGTGCTGGAAAAGGAGCTTAGAGTCCCACATCCTGACCCACGGGCAACAGGAAGCAGACTGTCTCATTGGAAGTGGCTTGAGCATATATGAGGCCTCAATGTCAACCTTCACAGTGACACACTTCCTCCAACAAGGCCATATGTACACCAACAAAGCTACATCTCCTGAGAGTGCTATTCCCTACGAGCTTATGGAGGTCAATTACATTCAAACTACAGTTTCCCACTAGAACTAGACAGTAAGAATCTGCTGCTGAAGAAATCACTCACTTCAGTTGCAAGACACAGAGAAATCAAGTTGGAACTGGTTTGGAAAGCTTCTGCCCTTCTAACTAGCTCTCAGAGTGCTGGGAAAGATGCAATGCAGGTCACTGCTGAAGAGTTTTCATCAATAATCTGACTCAGCTATGGACCCTGCTAACTGGCCAGGCAGTACGTACCTACTGATGCAATAGTGTCACATCTGTTATAAGGGTAACCAACCATTTTCACAATGGATTGGAGGCCACAGGAGGAAATTCATTTTTTTATACTGCAAACCTGATCAACAGCCCGTGGCTAGGAAGGTCATAGGCTCTAGTGGGGAAGCTACTGCTGTTTTGCTAAATGGACATGATGTCTTCATAAAGTCCACTTGTCAATAAGCACATTTGTACCCATATTTTAGTGTTGTGTACTTTTGTCAAAGATTCTTCTTGCAGTGAGCAGTGCTACTATGGAGACTTATAACTGATCAAAGTAATGACATCACCTGCATCATCCTTTCCAGAGGGGAACATTGTGGGAGAAGTGGCTGGAAGAGTGTAAGCACCAGAAGATGGGCAAGGAGTGATATGGGACGCTTACTTCTGGACATGCTATGGCTGCTGCAATCTTGAACTCATAGCATTTGAAATAGATGGGTGGCGATGACTCACCCATGTATGTAATTGACGGTACTGTTTGGGAAGGATTTGGAGGTGTGTCTTGTTGGAGGAGATGTGTCCCTGAGGATGGACTTTGAGGTTTCAAAGACTACACCATTCCCAGTTAGCTCTCTCTCTCTCTGCCTAGTACTTATGGATCAGATCTGAGCTCTCAGCTACTTTACCAGTGCCATGCCTGCCTGCCTGCTACCATGCTCCCTTCACCATAATGATTGTAGACACCTTTATAAGCTGACTCTGTCACGGTGTCTGCAGAGCAATAGAAAAGTAACTAAAACAGCTTCTTATGATTACCTGCACAAGATCTGCATAAGACTAGGCCTGTCAGCACCCTGCCATGGAGGAGGAAAGGGCTCATGAAGCCCTACTACCCCTGAGGAGTTGTATGTAGCTAATGATTAGTGGAAAGGAAGAGGCATTTTCTTCTGTTTTGTAGCCACTGGTAAGGTGCCTATGCTACTGCAAACAACTTCTTACTTGATTCTTATAAGCAAACCTAATGAAACCCATTGAGTCCTTAAAAATGACATAAAAGTAGAACAGAGACTAGTTGAGGAGAGGATAATTAGTACATACCAATAAAATATTTTTAAAAAGGGAGAGAATGACATCCCGAGAAAGGATGCTGTAGATAAATGTTTTATCAAGAAGGACCCTGAGGTCAGTTGCTCACACTAACAAATGGCCACTGAGGGCTGTCATGTAGCAGGCAGGGCCTGAGTCCTTAGCAGGCACCGGTGACAAGCCCACTGGTGGGGGCTAGGGTGCCATGCTGCGGGAGGGGACCAGCTCCATGTGTGGAGTTCAGGGGCTGGAGGGCAGGGGACACTGGTTAGAGCTAGGGGAGAAGCCAAGGCAGAAGATGCGACCCAGAGACCCCTGGGAGGGGAAGGCAGAGTGAGAGGATGCACCCGGGAGTTTTAAGAAGTTACCAGGGTTTGAAGGGGGGAGGGGCACCCCAGGGCCTTTGCCACCTGGAGTTGGCTAAGGACTGAGGAAATGGTTTTCCATTTCACTGCCCTAAGACTGGGAGGGGCTGAGGGGAGAAGGGAGGAGAGCAAAAAGCAGAGTGGAGATGGAGCCCCACAGTTGTCTGAAGAGGATCAGGAAGCCAAGGAGAGAGCGTGGAGGTGGGGGGGGGCGTGGGGGTGGGGGTGGGGGGTGGATCTTGGGGAAGAGCAGCTGGAGGAGGCGATAATGCAGTCTCTTTGCTGTCTGGGGTGGGGAATGGACTGATCCTGAAGAAAGATGGTACAGCTGTCCCTTTGTTTTTTCTGTGTTTCAAGCTTTCATCTCTGAAACAGTGAAGTGATCCATGTTACAGATTCGGAGGATTAAATGGGAAAGCATAGTTGGTGATGCGAATCCAGTACCTGGCACATCTAGTGGGTGCTAATTATTCTAATGTTTCATTGCTGCAAATCTATGATGAACTCATTCACAACCCCTAAGCCAAGGAAGGCATCATTTACATGTTGTCTCCTCTTGGTATCTTGTAATTGACATTGTAAATAAAGAGTTCTTTTTATGAAAAGAAATGCCATTTAACATATTTGAAAGATAGGCCCAGCAATGGGCTTGAAGACACATTCTTTTTATCTGTCATGTACATATGAACAGCATACATTTCAACTAAGGATTGCGAAGTGAGCCAAGCTCCCTCCTCGTGGGCTGGGGCTCTGATTTATTACCCACATCTGTGTAGAAGGATTAAGAGCAGCATGCTCTCTGATAAGTGATTGAGCTATGTGTTCTCCATTTTGTTAAGAAACCTCCTCTTGTTTGAGACAGAGATAACTCCGTATTTTAAAAAATTACTCTTCAGTGGGCCAAAATGATTTTAAGCAGCAATATATCGTAGAAGAGACTCCCTGGAGGAGTCTGACCTGGTTCCTTTGGTAAGAACTCCATGGGAAAAAATGAAATCCAAAAGGAGGAGAGAAGGTGGGGTGCTGAGTAAGGGGGAGAGACGAAGGGGGAAGAAGGAAGGGGAGAGAAGGAAGGGGGAGAAGAGGAGGAGGAAGAGGCTGAGGGGCAGCATCTTTTTCTTCACAAAGAAGATGCCCACACACAGCAGAAAGGACCCAGTCAGAGCCCTAAAAGGGACCCAGCACCTTGTGTCAGACTAATCCCAATGAACAGTCTCCCCCAGGCCTGAGCGCAGAAGTAGCTGATTTCAGCTTGAGGGCCAGATGGACACGGACAACTTCTCAATTAGCAACTGCAGCAGTGAGCGGCCCAGTCCTAGAAACTTGGTGCTGAGTGCAACGGGAAGAGGGAATGGAAACTGTGTGGTGCCAGAAAACAGTGCTCTCCTGAGATGGGTCCTGATTCCACCTGAGCTGTGTTTGAGGGCTGCACTCCAGGCTATTTTTATAATTGCTTTACTCCATGCGATATTTCCTGCCTTCACAAGTTGAGGTGTTACGTGTTATTATTTATTTATTTTGATCTATGCTCAGTCTAAGCTCCAGATGTTTACCTCTTAGTCTGATGGGTGGACTCTAGGTATCAGGATCTGGAGAGTCCCCCTAGGTGGTCTAGCCTGCTGCCAAGTCGGAGGTCATTCCTCTAGAGTAGGACTTCATAACTTCGTGCAAATGAATCAGTTGGATCTTGTTTAAATGCATAGGCAGGGTTGGAGAGATAGCTCAACAGTTAAGAGGACCTGGGCTTGGTTTCCAGCACCCACATGGTGACTCCCAACTATTTGGAACTCTAGTTCCAGAGGATCTGACACCCTCTTCTGGCCTCTGAGAGCACTGCATACATGTGCACAGATATGCATGGATATATAAAAATAAAGAAATAAATAAAATAAAAAATGCAAAAACAGATGGAGTGGGTCTGGATGGGACCTGTGCTTTTTAATAAACTTCTGGAATCTGCTACTGTGTCTGGACTTCCAGCCTCATTTGGAGACATTGACATTCAGGGTACAGGATCTCAGGGGTCAGTAGTCCTGTCTCCCTAGTCAAGGCTTTTCTGGCTGCCATTTTGTTCAGTCTGCTATATTTGTTCTTTGCCCCAGCATGTATCCTGTTTCAGGGATACTGGGGGGGGGGGTAGAATGGGCAATGCAGAACAGTTTCCCAAATGTGTGCACATACCCCATGTACATTTAGAATTTTTTTAAGTAGCTGTGAGTTTATTGTTGTATTTAGAATAATGATACTGGCTTCCAGTATGTCATGTTGTAGTGTCAGCTTTTTTAAAATAAATGTGTGTGTGTGCGCAAGTGCGCGAACGCGAGTGCTCTCAAGTGCAGGTGTGCACATGTCATAGTGCGCTCAAAGAGGTCAGGGGACAACTTTTGCATCACAATCTGTAATTCCCTTCTCAACTCACTGTGGTGATATATTATTTATGATTTGTTAAAGCTTGCTTGAGGATTCAGAAAAGCAAAGTCAGCCACAAGCCTTAGAAGCCAGGCTTTAATCCCAGCAGACAGAAACTAGGAGGTGGTGGTACACACCTTTAATCCTAGAACTCAGGATTAAGAGGTAGACTGATCTGTATGAGTCCAAGGCCACCCAGATCTACACAAGACTGAAGTAGTCCAAAAGAGAATTATAGCTCACACCTTTAATCCTAGGACTCATGAGAGGTATGTAAGCCAGTATCAGATTCGATAGGGGCATTCATTCTCCAATCACACTGAGAAGTTACCGTCTGAGGCTTGGTGGGAGCTCATGGAGACAGGACCAGCCCATTCAGCCTGAAGTAGAGGTAAGAAGCTAGTGGCTGGCTGCTTTGCTATTCTGATCTTCAGCTTGTAGCTTGAACTCCAACATCAGTCTCTGGATCCTTTTAGTACAGCTCCCTGAGCTTATTCTCTGCCACAGGGCATCCTAGCATGACAACAACACGTGACTATCTTGCTAATTCCTCTGTTTCCTTTTCCTTGTTTCCCATCATGAGGTGGACAGGCATTCTCTGCCACACGCCTCCACCATCGTAGACTGAAGTGCCACTGACCAAAGCAACAAGACCAAGAGGACATGGGCCGAAACTTCCAGAACTGTGAGCTAAAATCAACATTCCATCGTGTTGGTTACCTTAGACATCTAGTCAGAGTGGCAGAGAGCTGACTGATGTGGGTTGTCTGTAGAGAGCACATGAGAAAGTGTAGGGCTACTGATGGTGCAGTGAGATTCTGACGTCTAAGACCTGAGTTCTTTGCTTGGTCAGAACTTACGACCTTATTAGAAGATGGTACTTGGGATAATGACTGCATTAAAATGAACAGTAAAATCAACTTTATTTAAACTTAGCCAGTTCTTTTCTTTGGGCTCCTCCCAGGGAAAACAAAGCCAGTATGGAATTTCAACAAGGAACCTATTGAAGGAAAGATTTAAATTTCCACCTTTTACACATACACCAAAGGAATAAGACTTCTGTTGTTAATTGTCCAGGAACTGAAAGGTGATGGTGATTGCTTGAGCCTTCCTACTTTGGCTGACTTAGAAGCAGGTCTTAAGGAATGGCAGGAAGCTTAAGGGAGTGGTGCCCTGAGCAAGGCTGCCATTGGCAGAGAGCGTGGAGGTGTTTAACGCCAGCCACAGAGGGTCTAAAGAGAAGGCAGGGAGGCCAGAGGCAGTGCTGCCCCCACGAGAGAGATTCTGCCATTAAGTTGTGTGTGATGCTAGGGGAAATTTCTTTCTGCTATGTTCCCTCGTAATCGGGAGACTTTGAAAAGAAGTTAGTTATGAATTAAAAGAGGCAACTCCTAAAGTCTGGGTTTGCTTTGAATTTTGTGGGGATTCTTATTACAAAGAAGAAATACTCCATTTCTTTCTCCAGATGTAAGGATTCCCTAGGCCATCATTTCAGATGTCAGGAATCTTCAATGGGAACAAAATTACTTTTCTCAACATGGAGTTTTTCCCCATTGTTTAGTAGAGCCTGATCTAATATTTCCTCCTTAATATATGGGAGACTATGTGTCCTTTCAAGTGATGACAAGTTAATCATACAGCCTCCCTGTCAACGTCACCTTTCTGCAGCTGGATGACACCAGCTGTTTTTTCTTTGGGAACACACAACTGTTGCTCTTCTTGGGTTCTGCATTAGGTGGCGCTGTTTGACCATTTTCTCCACTGGCTCCTCAGCGTGCATACTGAGCTCAGCGTGCATACATAAATGGTCTGATATTGATAGAATTCACTTTTTTTTTTTACATGATGCTGTTTGCATTGAGTACAGACAGCCAGTGTTCTTTCTGGGTTGCAAGTCTCAGACACTTCTCAGATGTAACACAAATGAAGACTTCTGGATGAGGTATTGCTCGCTGCTTGTGACATTGTTGGTCTGTTTGAAGTTGGTGGATCTGAGGATGCCAGGTGGCAGTGGCAGCCTTTAAATGCATAAATGGAGAGGGAAGGAGTAGAATGTTGTTGTGAGAGATTTGTGCACTGTGTGAAAATACATTGCTTGCTAAGGAATGGACGTGTGCAGGGAGAGCGACACTCCACCATTCTCCAGTTTAGCAAGGCTTTTTCCTATCATTCCCTGAAGCAGCTGCAAATATTGTCCTCTTCTCTGGGGGTGAAAAAAACAAACTCTCATTGCTAAATCTCCTGACTTTAAAGTCTAATTTATTTCACCAAATGTGTGATGGGGACGAAACGAATACATCGGGTCACTTCCAGATCATTCCACACAAAATCTACCTGCATCTTTATCCCGAAAAGATAATGGTGCAAATATGTCTTCAAGAGGTGCCAGGTCAACAGATCCTCTGACTAGTGCCACGGATGGTGGCCACTGGCATGGGGGGCAAGTTTTCAGTTACATTGTCCCCTCAGCTCACTCCTCTATGAACGACAGTAACGACAAGCCCAATGTCACCCACTGCTTTGAAATAGGCAGTGCAAATTTAAAAACAGTCACACTTGAATTTAGTTTTGTGTTGTGCTATTTTGAGACAGGGTGTCACTGTAGCTTAGGCTATCAATTCTGCTTCAGCCTCCCAAGGGCCAGAACTGCAGATATGTGTCACCATGCCTGACAGGAGTCACAACTTCAAGAGTGTCATCCCTTCCATTAGGACTCTTTCTTGCTTACAGGGAGACCTGGTGGTTCAGATGTTAGCCATTCAGACCTGAGTGTGGGATTTTTCGAGTTAACCTAAAGCAGCTCTGGGATGGAAGGCCTCCAGATCCGTGCCCTCTGTCCCTGGATAGTTTTCTCTGGAAAATCAGATTTTGGCAGAAGGTTTGTTAGAGGTGGATTTGGTGCAGCTGAAATCCTTCGGGAACTAATGGGAGATATGGGGGTAGATGTGGATATGTCACGCACTTCAACACTAATGAGAGGCTGTGGGCTTCATAATAATGAGCCAAGACAAACAACATTCCTCCCGTGCGTTGAGAATACTGCCTTCTCTTGTTAGATAGCTGAGCCCCAGCATAGCCACACGTTTTCTCCACTGGTGACGGATTTTTCTGGTTGTGTGTGTAATATCCAAATCATTAGACAAGTCTTTGGCTCAGGAACAGTTACCGAATACTGCATTGAGTTAACCACTAGTCCTTTCCAAGGTAAGACTTCACCTCTGCTTTCCCTCCAGACTGTCATTTTTAAATTTTGAATAAATATCCCATTGGCTCTCCAAATGGGTTTCAGGGAATGACACAGCATGTTTAGACAACCACACAGTTTGGCTTGTAGTTCCTGAGTGAATTATGTACAGGTTTTCAGTCCTCTGGATCCCTCCTGCCTCTGGGACACTTACATAAAACAGCTGAATGCCATTATAGTAAAGGTTTTGTATATTGATTTTGTAGCTTATAATTTTACTGAAGCATTTGATCAGTCCTAACAGTGTGCGTGTGTGTGTGTGTGTGTGTGTATGTGTGTGTGTGTATGTGTATACAGTTTCTTTTGTGTTTTCTGTGTCTAACAAAACCATGCAACCACTAGGGCTAGAGAGATAGCTCAAAGAGCACCGGTTGCTCTTACAGAGAACCCCAGTTTAATTCTCAACATCCATATAATAGTTTGCAACCCTCTTTAATGCTAGTGCTTGAGGATCTAGGGCACTGCACAAATGTGGTACACAGGCATCCATGCAAGTAAAACACCCATAAAAAGTCATGTTGTCAGCAGAGACAATTCCACTTTCCCTAGGTGGATACCTTTCCTTCCTTCCTTCCTTCCTTCCTTCCTTCCTTCCTTCCTTCCTTCCTTCCTTCCTTCCTTCTCCTCCACCACCCCTTCCTCTAGTTGCTCTGGTGAGCCCTCCCAGTATTTCGTTGAATAAAAATGGCAAGAGCAGGCATGCCTGTCTTAATCAAACGAAGGAAAACTCCCAGTTCTTCAATTGAATATGATGGTTCCTATGTTTTTTAAATAACTTTTGTTGTTAGGGTATATTTCTTTACTACTTAATCTGTTGAGAGTTTTCATCACAAAGGGATACATAATGCTTTTTCTGCATGCGTCAAAATGATCATATGCTTTTCATCTCTCATTTTATTAATGTGGAGTATCCAGTTTGTTGGTTTGTATATGTTGAGCCGTCCTTGCATTCCAGGGATAAATCCCACTTGATTGTAGTGACTCTTTTTACTTGCTGCTAAATTTGATTTGTGAGTATTTGGTTAGGATTTTTTCATCTGTGTCATTTTCATTTCTTATGAGTGTCCTCATAAGGATAATGTCAGGATAATGCCGACCATTTTTAGAAGTTTGAGAAAGATTACTTTAATGTTTGGTAGATTTTAACCGTGGAACTATCAGGTCCTGGTCTTTTCTTAGATGTGTGTGTGTGGGGACATTCTATTACCGAATCAATCTTCTCTCCTATTATTGTTCTGGTCAAGCATGTTACTTCTTAATGACAAAGTCTTAGTCTTTTTTTAATCTTAAAAAATTTTATGTGTATGGGTGTTTTGCCTGCACATCTATATATGTGTGCCACGTGCACGCAGTACTCCAGGAGTCAAGAAACGGCATGGGATCCTTTGGAGCCCCTGTTACAGAGGGTGGTGAGCCTCCATGGGGGTGCTAGAAATCAAACCCTAGTCCTCTGGAAGAGTCATTAGTGCTCTTAACTGCTGAGTCATCGCTCCAGTCCCCTTGGTAGGTTTTATGTGTCTAGGAATGTATCATCTCTTTTTTATCTTTAAAATGTGTGTGTGTGTGTGTGTGTGTGTGTGTGTGTGTGTGCATGTGCATGCTTTGTGTGTCTGCTAAATATCTAGGATAACAAACTTAAACCAGGTTACAGAGTCACCCAGGAATTAGTGTTGTGACTGTTACATCTTTCCTGTGCCTCTTCCTGGGCCATGTTTCCTCTTCCCAGCAAGGCACCACAACTTGGATATGAATGCTCCTTACATTGAGGCAACCATGGCAACCACACCCTTGATACACTTTCTGTGACTGCCGCCCACACTCCCCGTGTGTGCTTGAGAAGCCCTACAGAGTATTCCTTTGTGTGTTCCTACATTTTTACATAAATGGTCTCACATCCCACTTTTAGAAACCAGGAAGGCATTTTCTGTTCTTCTGGAAAATGAAAGGGACCAGGGCTGTGGAGTAATGGAGCTTTAACTAGGGTTCTTTTGATTGAAAACAACAGAAAGTCATTCTGTTGCTTTAAGCGAGAGGGATTCGGTGGAACGTACCCAAGTGGACATGAGCAACAGCTAGCTGAGATTTCATTCTCTTGTCCTCATCACTGGCATGGAAAAACCACAATGACCCAAGCCTCTGCATTCTGTATGCCTGGGTGCCAGTCTTCAAATTCCTGAGGCAGTGAGAAGAGCCAATTAAGCCAGAAATTCTTCCAGGAGTTACCCCCTTGTATATGGTCAGGAATGTAGGATGGTTGTAACAGGCTCACTGGCAATCAGAGCCTGAATTGGGGATATTGCAGGGGAGGGCCTGTGAGCTGGGTGCCCGAGCAGGTGATGACTGTATGGGAATAGAGAAAAACTAGAGATGAGAAGGAAAAATGCAATTTCTTTAAAGAATAAAGAACAAAGGGGAAAGCGTTACTATTTGGGAGTTCCTACCTGGCATTTCAATGTATTTGGGCTTTTGAATTTTGAGAAACATCAGTTGAGACAAAGAAAAATGATTCCTTGTTTATTAATATGACCCCTTACTCTTTGTGAGAATTAAGAAACAATTTGGAGGCATCCATTGACTCAGCATCACTGACAGGTGGAGGTTAACGTCTACTTCTACATTTGCTGGGAACCAGGATGGGTGCAGAAGTGTAATCAGGTCCTGAGGTCAGAATTAGGATTTATCCCTGCCCACTGGGGACATGGGAGGAAGAGTGACCAGCTGTGGTCACAAAGCTAGCCTGACTCTTTCCCCAAGCAAACCAGATACATTTAGACTAAACAAAGTGTAGCTGGCATTTTCTGCCTTGGGGTATAGTTCTATGACAGGGTTTGCCCAGCAAAGCTTGTATGAGAGACCCTGGGTGAGCTAGCTCAGATAGGGGTTGGGTTGTGGTTGGGGTGGGGAGGGCAGTAAACTGATTTCACAGATAGACCCTAAAAACATACATACATACACATACATACAATACATGTTTTAGATTTTAGATTCTTTTCTCCCATCCTCCCCTCCCTGCTCCCCTGGCTTCAGGGAAGTCCAGATGTATTTGGCCCACAGTAGTTATATGCTCTTATTGAGTCATTGTCCATTTCTGTCCACACAGGGAATGCTAAAAACATGCTGCTGACACATTGACTCTGAGGGCAGAGAATGCCAAAAGTGCAGGACAAGAGGAGACAGAAAAGTGAGTGGAAAATGTCACAGGGCAGTCCTGCAAGGAAGTTCATGTGCCTTTCCTAGCCTGCCTGAATGCTTTTTGATGGGGGAATGTTAAGTACATTTTTCAAGCAACACCTAAAATGCCAGTTCCCACTAAACCACCTTCTCCCCAACAAGTGAAATAGCTTAGGGAGATCCCAATGGAACTCACATCTTCCTCAAGTCCTTCATGAAGAGGCCACGCACAACGTTAGTGCTAAGAAACGAAAAAGGTGAGCGTCATACATGTGCCTTAAAATGTTGGGGCACCTGTCTATGTGTTCTTACATTCCTAGCTTCATGTCTTCACCCACAATGACCCCCGAGGCCTTGAACAAGCCGGTCAGCCTCAGACGATCAGTTTCTGAGTTCAAGAACACACAATGCTTCCTACCTCTTAGGGTTGGTGGTCTTTTTCAAATTGCCTGCACAGTGCCTGGCTTGCTGTTCCTACTATTACAAATTAAGTCTTATTACTATTGTGATCATTATCATTACTCATTTATTATTATTAAAATAGTGGTGATTAACAGACCTTTTCCATTGCCATAAGAATGGTTCTTGTTCTTTGTATCAAAGAGTACTTGAGTGGATATCAGGGATATCAGTTTAACTGTTTAGCCTGATATCAAGTACAGTAACATGAATTAGAGAATTAATTAGTGCTAATGATGAAAACGCATTTTTTACTGACCCATATGTGGTCTGTAAATAAATATACACAGTATTAAAAGAAATTCAGGGGGTTAGCAAGATGGTTCAGCAGGTAGAGATGCTTGCTGCTAAGCCTGGACACCAAAGCTGATCTCAGAGTACACAAGGTGGCAGGGACTAGATTCCAGCAAGTTGTCCTCTGACTTCCACATGTGTGCTGTGGCACGTGCATGTTTGCAACACATGTACAGCACAATAAAATAGCATGCATTAAATTTTTAAGGAGACCCCGTCTCTAGCAGTTCATTTTGGGAGGTAGCCACAGATCCATGGAATATCGAAGAGCTTTCTTAAGAGCCCAGCGCAAGAAGCCAACGAGGAACATTAACGGAGGTATGATTTCCTACCCCTGTCTGCACTTGGCTCTATGTGAAAAGTATTCAGTGTTAATTAACGAAGTTGCAAAAATTATGGACTTTGGAAAGCAAATGGTTTCATTTTAATCAATTATTCATAAAAAGACGAGGCTTTCACCTTCCTAAGGACAAAGATTGATTTCCCACCATCCTGGATAGAAACATCAGCAATACAGAGTAAGGTGATTTTAAAATTTCAGGAACAGTCTCATCAAATTCTTCATACACAAGAGAATTCATGTTCTAATCCAAGGGAATCTGTTCCCTGCTGTGGAATGATCCTTCTGTACACTGCAAAGGTGTGTTGCTCTCATTGTTAATAAAAATTGATTGGCTGATATCTAGGCAGGATTATCAGGGCAGAAGGAAACTTGGGAAGAAGAAAGGGCAGAGTCAGGGAGTCCCAGAGTCCCAGAACCGGAAGCTGTAGAAGCAACATGGGAAGATCATAGATGAGGTAAATATGTCTCAGGGCAGCACATAGATTAATAGAAATGGGATAATTTAAGTTGTAAGAGCTGGCTGGAGACAAGCCTAAGCTATTGGCCTATCATTTATAATTAGTAATAAGACTCTGTGTGGCTATTTGGGGAGCAGCTGGCAGGACAGGGTTAATGGGCAGTCTAGACTGAAAACTCAGCCTGGAGTTCTTCTTCAAACTGTTCCCTCACAGAGATCCACCTGCCCCTGCCTCCTGAGTGCTGGGGTTAAAGGTGTGCATCACCACGGCCATCTTTCCCAAGGTATTCCAAAGACTTGGAATTTCCTGTGTCTTCGACCCTGACATGCTCTGTGGACCTGTGAGGATGGGATGGGGATGAAGGCTTTCATCACTCACTGGGGAAATGCAGATTTACTGAGTTAGTGTATGCTGTGTGTGAAGATGGTGGTTGGTGGCAAGGGGATATTGAGGACACCAAGGTGCTCCAGTTTCACACCAAGACTTCAGAGTGGTGCTAATCTTTTGGGAGTCAGAGAAGGCTGAGAGACACCTCTAGGCCTGGGAGCTGTGCATTCCTTGTGACTCTGAGCTCAGCACAGGGGAGCAACAAGCCACCTATGATCACATTTTATCCCTGCCCACTTAGGACATGGGAGGAGGTGTCACCAGCTGTGGTCACAAAGCTGGCCCGGCTCCCTTTCCTTCCTCTCCCATGTGGTGCAGTGGATCTTAGAAAAGACATTAGTCCCGCGTAGTTGAAGGTTTCTATGCTTTGCCTCTGCCTCTCCACCTGCTCTAGAGTGGCCTCGTTCCTTACTGCTAAGAAGTGGGGAGAAGATCTTTGCAGGTTCCAGTTGATAGCTCCTCTCGTTTCCCCATCACAGTTCAAGGACACTAATGGAAAGGAGAGGCAAGAGGAGAATCTGGGCTGGCTACAAGGGACGTCTTGGCCATTTCCTTGACTTCACAAAAGGTTCTTTTCTCCTCATCCATAAGATGGGCCAGTATGAAGGCTTTTCCTACTCTCTTTGGTTGATTTTAGCCTTGGGGGGTGCATGGCCTTTACATTGTGTATTAATTACTGCTTAGTTCCTAAAATCAAACACTACACCCCAGCAATGAGGCAACGAGTCAATTGTTCTCCCAGAAAGTGGCTAATAACTTTGGAAAGGAGAGTGGTAACTGAGGCTAACCTTGACTAGTCTCTGCCTCCTGTGCTCTGGGATTACAGCTGTGCTGCCAAGCTCAGTCTTTGTCTCCTTCTAATTCCCTCCTTCCCCACTCTTCACTATATGAAGGTTTTCCTGGTTTTGGATTTCAGGAGGATTTTATGGATAGGATACAGAAAACCCCTAGGTCCTGTAGAACGAAAGGATTCAGGCAAAAATGCTCAGCACAGTGGGTTGCACTTCATTTTTGTTTCAGTTCGGCTTTGTTCATTCATTTCTGGTGGACATTACATGTGCTCAAATTGCCCATTGAAGGTGCTTTATCCAGAGAAAAGTTCAATAGTGTGGACAGATGCAGTGTGAAGGGAGACGGTTTCTAAGCAGATGTGTAGGAAGGACGGGCAGGACAGGACAATGTGTTTGCTGCAATTACAACAATGAAAAGAAAAGAAAAAAGTTCCCATCCTGAGAGAAATGCTACCAAAATGGATGCTGGGTACTGAAGGTCCTGACAGGGTGTGATTCCTCACAACAAATGTTCCTGCTGAGTGTACACACCCACACCCACACCCACACCCACACCCACACCCACCCACCCACCCCCACACACACACACACACACACACACACACACACACACACACACACACACACACACACACGGTGCCCAGCCTCCAGTTTCACCTCTGGCAGAGCCTAACAATTCTCAGCTCTCCTTTCCAGGGTTATTTTTGGCTCGGACTGTTCTCTGATGGCAAAAGGTTTCAGCCCCCTCCCACCTCCCTCTCTGTCCTTACTAGGGAGAGAAACTTGTGCTTGAGCTAAGCTGACTTCAGGGTATGAGGAGAAAGGCCTGCCAGCCGGAGAAGACCCAGGCTAGCACGACTCCAGTCCCAGGCTGTCTTCTAGAGAGTGTGCATCGGGTTCCACTGGAAGGCTGAGTCCCTCGGCTGGACGGAAGGTGGAGTTGGGGACCCAGTAGCTGGCCCTGGAGTCCAGCTTTTGGGACACTCGGAAAGTCAGGCCAGCTGGGGAAAGAAACCAAGGACAGCTGGGCGATCCTCTGGGCCACAGAAAACTTTTCTCTGAAGGCGGAGGCAGACTCCACTCTGGGCGGGCGTTTAGGGGACCCGCAGGGAGCAGCGGCAGGAGGGCGGGGAGGGGCGGGGAGGGCGCTAGGCGGAGCCGGGAGCGAGGCCAGGCGGCGGGGGCCCGGGCGGGCGGCAGATCCCCGAGGCTCCCGCAGCCGCGGCAGGACCGGCTAGCGGCGCCATGGAGGGGAGCCCCATCCCGGTGCTGACGGTGCCCACGGCGCCCTACGAGGACCAGCGGCCGACTGGCGGTGGCGGGCTGCGGCGACCCACTGGACTCTTCGAGGGTCAGCGCAACTACCTGCCTAACTTCATCCAGAGTGTGCTGTCGTCCATCGACCTGCGCGACCGCCAGGGTTGTACCATGGTGGTGGGCAGCGACGGCAGGTACTTCAGCAGGACGGCCACTGAGATCGTGGTGCAGATGGCTGCGGCCAACGGGGTGAGTGACTCCCACCCCGGTGTGGGTTTGCAGTCCCTGCGCCCGGGCCACCTCCCTAGTGAGTGCTCTCTTCAGCTTCCCACACCTGCGCACTGGTGGCCACTAGGCACACTGGAGACACTGGCCTTCAAGGGGGCTGTTCTCAAAGCCCTGGGTCTGGAACCTTAGACTTCTCCCGCACCTGTTCCACGGCTGCATTCTCTTCCTCATCCGTTTTCCATCCCATCCCAGCTTGGGTTTCCCATATTCTCTCAACCGATTTTTGGCCCACCTCCTCACATAGACTTTTTTTTTTCGAGTCTGCTAACATGATTTCCCACCCAGTTGTCCATCATCATCACCTTCATCATTGTTTTGCCACCATCCTCTCCCAAATCTCAGCTGTCAAACCTAACGATTACCTGCACGCACACACCACACCGGTATTGAGCCGGTGAGCTATTTCCCAAGAGCGGGCCCCTCCCTGCGAATCACTTTACCTCAGTGGCCATTTAGTGACTACTTTAATTGGGACAGGGATGGGGTGGATGGCTTTGGGGACATTGCAGCCTGGCCTCTCAGTTCCCAGGAGGCATATGGGGTATTGTGATTCCCAACTTCTTTCCAAGATGCTTTTTGCATTTGACAAGCCAGGCCTCTTCCTTCTCAGGACACCTTCCTTTCCTCTCCGTTCTCCTAAGACCTCTGCCGTTTTCTTCTGCAGCTTGGTTTTTCAGACTTTGAGGTTCTTCCTTCTGCTCCCTCTTCCTTATTCCTCAGACAGAAGCACGTTCCGACATATCCACTCTGCTCTCCCTACTTAGCTTCCCCTTACCCCCAAATCCAGCGACCAAAACTTCCGACTACCAAACTTTGGGGGTCTTTGAATTCTCCGTAGGAAACAGGGTTTTAAAACGTTATCTGAGTCCGATTAAACATGACCAGAGTCACACCAACGAAACTTTCCCTTGAGTGAAATCTCTTTCAGATGTATAGTTGTAAACATCTTTAAAAGTGAAACTAGAAAATTACCTGGCATGCGGATTCTGGCCACCCCACTCCTCTCTGTGATGTCATTTCTTCTTAGCGTTTCTTTTTTAGAGAGGCCGGGCTTCATGTTTCCTACTGTGATTTTCTCTTCTTGGCATATTAGGAATGGAATAGGGGACAAAAGATGTTTTGTGGGATTTTTGTTGTGGCTTTTAAAAAAAATATATATCCAAAAAATATTTGGGGGAAGTGGGGCCAGAGGTTTTAGAGTGGATTCCAGACTGGCATTTATCTTTGGCACTTCACCTAGGATTGATGAATCTTGGCTAGAGTCTAGGGTTGGTGAGAGGTTGACAAATACTCTTTCCCTCTTGTCTGACAAAGCTATTCCTGGGAATGATGGGAGGATAATGAGCTCTGAGAGAGCTATGATAGCATTCACCCTCTTCCATGCTCTAGTTTGTCAGGGGGTGAGAAAAACATAGCCTATCCAGTATTTATTGTGGGTCAGAATATTTGTTGAAGACAGTTGTTGATTGGCATTTTGAGCATTGACTTGGACCAGTCTCCTCTTAATTTTTCTTATCTTCTGGGAGACTTGTTCTGAAGTGAATAGGCAGATAGTTGGCTCTAGAAGAAATGTAGCTTGGCAGGACTAGAAAATAATGAGCAATATAGGTCTTTGTGTGACTGAATGTAGATGGAACTCACTTGCCTTCTAACATGCATGCTGTGTTAGGCTGAGGGCAACCAGCCTGAATTCCTAAAGCCTTTAAATAGATTCTTTACTGGACATTCATAAACAGGATGCAAAAATAACGGAATGGGAAAATCTGATTATCACGTGGTCTGTCATTCCTCCATCTGAAAAAGTTTGGCTTTGATTGAAAAGTTAATATTGTGGTTTGAATAAGAATGACCCCCATTGGCTCATATGTTAGCGAGTGGCACTATTTGAGAAGGATTAGAAGGTGTGGCCTTGCTGGAGTATGTGTGGTCTTGTTGGAGGAAGTGTGTCACTGGGGGTTGGCTTTAAGGCATAAAAGCCTATGCCAAGTCTGGTCTCTCTGTTGCCTGTGGCTTAGGATGTAGAACTCTTGCTTTTTTCTGCAGCATTATGTCTGCCTGTAAACCTCCATGCTTCCTGCCATGCTGCTAATGGACTAAGCCTCTGAAACTATAAGCAAGCACCCAATTAAATGCTTTCTTTATAAGCATTGTCGCAGTCTTGGCATCTCTTCACGGCAATAGAACATTGACTAAGGCAGTTAATTTTACAAGGAAATTTTCTGAGAAAAGCTGTACTTAGTATTTGGTAATATAATTGTTGGAGAACTATGAAATTTCTCAATGGTGAACATATTACATATAATTTTACTAGTTCATCAAGCTTCAAACTGATGTATTTCACACTACTTAGTGTATAATTTGGGATTTGAACACTTCTTGGATAAAAGCATGGTATGGAGCCAGAAAGATGGCTCAGTAGGTAAAGGTTCTTGCCTCTAAATCTGATAACCGAGTTTGATTCCTGGAGCCCAGGTGGCAGGAGAGAACTTACTCCTGAATATTGTTCTCTAACTTCTTCATGTGTATTGTGATGTATGTGTGCACATGTGTGCATGCACACACACATATACAATAAATAAGTGAACAAATTAAAAGTTATGGTTGGGAGAGTGCATGCCTGCACTCTCATGTATCCACACCACACACATACACATGTGCACATAAAAATAAAAACTAAAAAGAATTTTAAACATTATGAAAATTTCCAGCTTTCAGAAAAGTCAAGGTAGGATTTATTAATAGCCATAGGTCCATTTTACGTTTGTGCCACTCTTTTTGACATAAATGTTTCTATTTTCTTAAGAAAACTGGCATTTGTATGGGTCTTCAGTATGGATCTCTTAAAAAATAAGGACCCTTTCCCATGTAGTTATAACTCTACATCTGAGTTCACTCTGTTGTTTTAAAATTGATTTATTCAAACCGAGTTCTCCTAATCAAGGAATAAACATTGCATTTGGTAATTTAGGTCAATTTTTAACCTATAAAATACTGTCTCCTGCCTGCCTGTCTGTTTGTACATCTGTCTGTGAAACTGAGTTTTCAAAGAACCAGGCCAGTTACCCTGTAGACTGTTTCTTCTGGTCTTTTCAGGCCTTTCAAGTGTATTTTTACGGCACTATTTCACTTTCACTCTACACCTTGCTTTTCTTGTTGGCTAGAAATTGGTTCTGAAGACTACCTTAGTCCCTGTGCATTGCTGTAACAAAGTATCATGGACTGTAGCTTGCACACACCAGAAGCTCATTTCAAAGCAGTTCTAGAGGCTGTAAGCCCAAGGTCAGGGCTCTGGTTATTTTGGCATCTATCTGGTGAGGGCCCAGTTTCTGACAGGAAGAATTGTGCTTTCTTACTGTGACTTCACGTAGTGGGAGGACCTTGCTAATTCTTGAGGTCTCTTTTATTAAGGGCACTAAATTCCAATCATGATGACTCCATCCTCACCACCTAAACTCTCCTCCAAATGCCTTACCTCCAGCTGTCACCTTGGGCTTAGGATTTCAGTGTATGAATTTTGGGGGATATGAGCATTCAGTTCTTTTGCAAAGCTCATTTGATTCAGTTTAAACTTATCTTTTAGGAAGAGTGTTTCAGAGCCTGGTGTGGCGGTGCACACCTCTGATGCTATCACTGGAGGCTTATGAGTTTGTCATCCACTTGGGAAACAAAAAAAAAAAAACAAGAAAAGAAGTCATAGTTACTTCACTATGTTCATTTTCCCAGACTTTAGGTTTCTGCTTCTGCTCCTTCTTCCCCGTGCTACAGGACGAATCGCCGTTTGGTGTATCTACTTGGTTTCCCAGTCTCACCCCTCACCCACATTAAGTGCAACCATCAGCACTTTGGGGGCTCTGAATTATCTGCATCCTGTGGAGTGCAAGCTGTGTGGTCTCAGCAATAGTGACAATAGGAGGACTGCAGAGTCCTGGCGGCCACTGTTTCCATGTGCCACCATTCCTTCCTCGGTTCTCGTCTGCTGTGGGCTCCACTTTACACTATGTGCATGTTTGGTTTCTTATCAACATTTACTTACTGGCTTAAAATCCACTAATGACCATCTCTTAAACTAGTTCATTAGTTTCAAAGTAACTTTAGCATGCCATGTGGGTCCTGGTGAAGGAATGCAGGTTCTCAGGCTTGCCAGTAGATGCCTTTACCTGTTCAGACATTTCCTCCGCCCATGCCTTGCTTTTTATATGGGTACCAGGGGTGGGACTCAGGTATCCATGCTTGCAATGCAAGCCTTTTACTTGCATGGTCTCCCCAGCCTTTAGGACATTCTTTTATGAACCGGACGTTGTCCTTACAACTGGGCTACTTAGTTATTGCTCCTGAAAAGGAAACACCCTGTCTCTTTCACATTGCCAACTCTGGAGCAGGGATTTAAGAAAATAGCTATCTCCACAATGGAACTTTATGACAACTGAATTTGTCTCACTTTTGGCTTTGAGGAATGATTCATGAATTCTTGGATTTTATGCATTCAATTTCAGTGCACTGGTGAATAAATAAGATACTTTTAACTTTCCAGCCTCCACTCAGTGCTAGGAACTCAGGCCTTGGGAATGCTGGACAAGTGTTCCACCTCTCACCAATAACTGAAGTTCTCTCATTTTTATAGTTTCTATGTTGTTATATAAACTTACCTAAACCCCCTGATAAAAAATTTTAATTTTTTAAAGACACAAACCATGCTATTCCCTAGAGTGAAAGAAAAACAGTGGCTATGTATAAAAAGCCAATAGGACTGAACTGAAAAGCAAATAGTATTTAATCTTATGAACAAGATTAGTTTGATGTTTGAAGCTGTTTTTATTTCCATCTCATTCAGAACCTCCTCAGTATCAACACACACAGAGAGACACAGACAGACACACACACACAGACACAGACAGACAGACAGACACACACACACACACACACACACACACACACACACACACACACAAGAATTTAAGAGC